ACACATCTGTTTTACCTTGTAACTGTTAATTGCTCTAACTTTTTTTTTTTTTAAATATTGCTTTGTTGGGTGTATAACCCAACCCAGATGAAGATCAAATCTTCATCTGTTCTGAATTGTATACATTTCAAGACATTGGGCTCCATTCACAAAGTGATAATTTCCTCTTTACAATTTGTGGCAAAATACTTAATAGTGTTTTTCAAAAATGTTTTTGCAATTCATAAAAAAGGGCTACTAAAATAAGGCGTGCGGTATTTCATCGAAATATGCAATATTTATCTTATGAAAAATGCATATTTCATCTCATGATATCCAGTGGAATGGATAGAGTGGAATTGTATTGCTAATAAAGAGGTAAAATGGTTTAAACCACAGAAATATGCCAAGTCACTAAGTCACTGTGGTCTCTGCAGCATATGTATTAATCTAAAAGAAAAAAGGTGACTAGAATACCAATCAAAGGGAAGCTGCTTTCACAGGACACACGTGGGGTATCAAAAACAACTAAGTGAAATTGAGTATATACAAGTATCTTTATAAAGGTAGATTGTTGAATGTAAATAGTCTCAAAAATCACACACATATCAATACCCTTCTTCTACAATGTTGTCTTTTTTATTGGTGGAAGATTGGTATATATATATATATATATATATATATATATATATATATATATATATATATATATATATGTGTGATCTTTTATACTATTTTCTTCCAATATTTGATATTTTTAAAGATTTTTTTTTTACTTAAAGTATAAATAAAGGAATTTTTTTTTAGTTTTGGATAGGGTGGAGAGGGATCAGAAAACCTGTTGTTTTTATTGTAGGTTTTTATTGCAGTCTGTGCCCCTGTTAGGGAGATTCACCTTCTCTATATGTCCTGTTTTCCATTATCATGAAGGTAACTCTCCCCAATAGGACAAAAAAAACAGACGGGGTTCTAACCCTCCATTACTCTATCCAAAATGAAAAAGAAACTTTTGCCTTTGGTTACACTTTCAAGCAACCTTTTCAACACAGAAGAACCCTTGAAATAACTTTCCGGTCTCAGAGAACTCCTGCTAAATAAAAATGACTATATCTAAAACTCATGATACATTAGTGTGATGGTCAGTGGAAAGAATTTCTCTTACACTTATAGTCAGTGGGAAGAAGTACCCCCTTATAGATCGCTAAAAAAGATCCATGATGTCAGTGGGAAGATATCTCTAAAAATAATTGTGAAAAAGCAAAGTATCCCCATTATATATGACATACACTATACTGCGAAAAATATTCGGACGCCTTTACACACACATGAACTTTAATAGCATCCCAGTCTTGGTCCATAGGGTTCAATATTGAGTTGGCCCACCCTTTGCAGATATAACAGCTTCAACTCTTCTGGGAAGGCTGTCCACAAGGTTTAGGAGTGTGTCTATGGGAATGTTTGACCATTCTTCCAAAAGCGCATTTGTGAGGTCAGGCACTGATGTCAGACGAGAAGGCCTAGCTCGCAGTCTCTGCTCTAATTCTTTCCAAAGGTGTTCTATCGGGTTGAGGTCAGGACAGGCCAGTCAAGTTCCTCCACCCCAAACTCACTCATTCATGTCTTTATGGATGTTGCTTTGTGCACTGGTGCGCAGTCATGTTGGAACAGGAAGAGGCCATCCCCAAACTGTTCCCACAAAGCTAAGAGCATGAAATTGTTCAAAATGTCTTGGTCTGCTGATGCCTTAAGAGTTCCCTTCACTGGAACTAAAGGGTCAAGCCCAACCCCTGAAAAACAACCCACACCATAATCCCCCCTCCACCAAACTTTACACTTGGCACAATGCAGTAAGGCAAGTGCCATTCTCCTAGCAACTGCCAACCCAGACACATCCATTGGATTGCCAGACAGAGAAGCGTGATTCGTCACTCCAGAGAAAATGTCTCCACTGCTCTAGAGTCCAGTGGCGGCATCTGACACTTTGCATTGCACTTGGTGATGTAAGGCTTGGATGCAGCTGCTCGGCCATGGGAACCCCTTCCATGGAGATCTCTACACACTGTTGTGCTAATCTGAAGGCCACATGAAATTTGGAGGTCTTTAGCTATTGATTCTGCAGACATTTGGTGACTTCTACGTGCTGTATGTTTCAGTATGCACTGACCCCGCTCTGTCATTTTACAGGGTCTACAACTTCGTGGCTGAGTTGCTGTTGTTCCCAGTTGCTTCCACTTTGTTATAATACCACTAACAGTTGACCGTGGAATATTTAGTAGCAAGGAAATTTCAAGGATGGATATATTGCACAGGTGGCAACCTATCACGGTACCACACTTGAAGTCACTGAGCTCCTCAGAACGATCCATTCTTTCACAAATGTTTGTAGAAGCAGTCTGCATGTCTAGGTACTTGATTTTATACACCTGTGGCCATGGAGGTGATTGGAACACCTGAATCCAATGATTTGGAGGGTTGTCCCAATACTTTTGACAATATATTGTGTATGTTCTAACAAGGGATTAGACCATTGTTTTATGCACAATGTACATGTACATTGTATTATGTTTTGGCATGATTGGGAGTTTTTTGAAGCAAAAGATGTACTGTATATGCTTATATATTCACAAAAAAGTCTCTAAATATCTGGTGAAATGACAGGAGAAAATACGTATATTTTACTACAATAAAAACTTGGCAGTGTTCTAATCCACCTCCACTCTCCAAAATAATAATAAAAAAGGTTTCTATAGTTACTATTTAAGTAAATCAACCCCAATGACTTTCATATTTCCAAGTTTAAGTTTCTATGCAATACTGTTGAGAGAGTGGATACAAAAAGGCAGAGGCTACTTAAAAGTGCCTATTATATTTTTACATTTCTCAAACACTGCATGCCTGGACCACTACCTAATTACTGCATGCATTTAATTATTTATTTCCTTTTGTGAATTGATTGTAATGCCTTTTCATGCGGTGTTCACTGAGCGTTTTGCTGTAAATGCCTCAAAACGGTATAGTGAATTGACAGTTTCAGAATTGCATGCAATATTTAGGCAAAATGTGTCCAGACACCTACATACCGCATGAAATCTGCTTTGTGAAAGGAGCTCATTATATCTAGTAGGCTTGATCATAAATCTTCTTTCTCCTGTTCTACTGGTAATAGACACATCTACACTGAGATCTAGCAGGAGTATACAGTATGTGCCGATATGGACATTCAAGAGATACAAGGGAGGGACTTGTTACAGATGGGTGTGGTATGTAAGACTCCATCACATCTGGGACCTTAGTTACTAGATGACTAGGGAGGGGCTTTATGTGTCCTGTTAATTTTCTCAAATTTTCAAAGCTTTGATACCACAAATTGTATAAACAACAATATATAGTAGATTTGGTAGGCTGTGCCATTGCTGTCTCCATTGTCACTGGTACTAGGCAAAGTTGCATCAAGAGCCAGGTAGGAGTATATGTTCCAGTGATGGGAGTTCAACTGTGAACATGGGTGATGTTGGTGTTATCGAGTCCAAAAGGCAGCTTTCATCCAATTCTCACCTTACTATGAATGTCTCTATTCAGAATCCGCTATGACTGATCTCTGCCTTCAGTAGTGGTCAAGTGACCAAATGCCAAGGCTTCTGATTGTGTGATCAGCACTAGAGATAACCTGAAGCAGCATATTGTCCAGGGTAGAGGAGGCACTTCAGCCTTTCTGTTCCTCTTTATCCATCCAATCAAATATTTTATTACAGGTACTTATATAGCACCATTAATTTATACAGCACTTTACATATACTGTATAATCACACTAGTCCCTAGCCCTCAAGGAGAGCACAATCTAAGGTCCCTAATTCACACATACTAGGGCCTATTTAGACAGGAGCCAGTTAACCTACCAGCATGTCTTTGGAGTGTGGGAGAAAACCAGAGTCCTGGAGGAAACCCATGCAGGCATAGGAAGAACATGCAAACTCCATGCAGGTAGTGCCGTGTCTGGGATTCATAAAATGACCCGAGCGCTGATAGGTGGATATGCTAACCACGTAGCCACTATGCTGCCCAACTTAGGCCAGTGCCCATCATTGGGCAAAATTGAAATCCCCAACAATTAAAAGGTAAGGCCACCCAAAAGCTGAATTTTCTTTACAGGTGGAATAGATTGGGTTGCATCACCTATCAGCATCCAGCCCTGTCCCTGACCACTTTTCATTCCAATAGACAGACCTACAGTAACTCTGTCTTTGTTTACATGTCTTCCTCTGAGCCAGCTTGGCATGACACAATGCAAGGACTAAGCAGTTGCAAAGATTTGAGTTAATCGCCTGCTCATCCATTCATTAGCTTAATGTACAGGCAGAAGACTGAAATCCATGCAGTTGACTAACACTTGCACAATACTTTGCTCAGATGCTTCAGAGGAAATGATGAAAGTCATGAAATCAGAGCCAAAGTGCTGCCAGTTGCTAAAATAAAAACATCTGATTAAAGTCTACATATTTGACTACTCTTCCCTTTCATTTATTGGATTTCGGCTCTTTCAACCAAGGAGGCTCAGCATCACATGTGACCATTACCTAAGGCAGTCTGCATGTAAATGATGCTTCCTGCCCAGGAACTTTCACATCTCCAAATTGACATTTACCCATCATTGCATTGTGATACTTGCATCACTCCCCCAAGAGCCAGGCTACTGTTTGCATCAGCATTGACTGCTACTAAAGGGAGTACTGAGGCGGGGGGGGGCTGTGATGTTTTCATGAAAGTGTATACATCACCCTACCGACCTCTACCACCACCCATTAGCTGCCTGTATTGCATAGAGAAGCACAGAGATCCAACAATGACATCACTGGGTCAAAAATAAGCTAGTTAATGAAAATGGAATTAGCAGGTTGATAGAGGTGAGGACCAGAAAAGATAACATTAAAGCTGATTGAACTCCAGTTCTAACTTTACAGCAGAAACTAAAACTGTATTGTTGGTTTTCATTAGATTGACGTCTTAAGGCAAAGTGACCTTACCTGTCTCAATAGAATAGATAAGTTCTGCATTTTCTCCTTTGTCTCTGTCCAGGGCAGTGACTTGTATAACAGCAGAGCCGATAGCAGCAGATTCAAACACGGAGGCCTCGTACAGCGGGCTGGTGAAATACGGACTATGGTCATTAGCATCTTCCACTGTAATCATAACTCTAGCCAGATTGCGGCGGTACGGGAACTCCTGATCTTTCACCTTTTATAAATAATCAAGAAAAGCAATGCATTATTAATATGTTCAACGTCGAGCAGAAATTTAGTAGCAGGTCAGTGAGAAGATGATCACCTGGCTCCTGTCATTTCAACAGCCAACTTTCCTTATAAAAATGTATTATAAAGTATATTTATGTCAAATCTTCCATTATTGTGAAACCAAGTCATTGTCTTAGTCTATGAAGGCTCTCATTTATTCAGGGTCATGGTACAGCTAGTAGAAGTTAGTTACATACAAATGGACTTGTTCTGTAATATTTGTTCCTGGACGATCATCAGCTGCCCTGACACATTCCATGTAATCTGATTTAAAGTGACCCCCTCGTTATATTTAACTTTCACATGCAAGCTGTCCATGTAAACGAAGACTATAAATTATTATTATTATACAGTATTTATAAAGCGCCAATAGTTTGCTCAGCGCTGTACATTACAAAAGGGGGACAGAACATGTGACAGAACAATACCAATACAATGCAAAACATGAGGGGATTGAGGGCCCTGCTCTTTCGAGCTTACAATCTAGGAGGGAGGGGATGGTAGCACAGGAGGAGATAGCTGTGGGGGATGGAGTGGTAGGAAGAGTGGAGGAGGTCGTGAATTAGCAGGGGGTGGGGCAGGCTTCCCTGAAGAGATGGGTTTTCAGGGTGCGCCTAAAGCATAGGAGAGTAGGTGATAATCTGATGGGTTGGGGCAGGGAGTTCCAGAGGATGGGTGACACCCTGGAGAAGTCCTGGAGGCGGGCATGGGAGGAGGAGACCAGGGAACTAGAGAGAAGGAGGTCTTGTGAGGAGCGGAGTGTGCGTGCTGGGTGGTACTTGGATATTAGGTCAGTGATGTAGTTCGGGGCAGTATGGTGGACAGCTTTGTATGTCAGTGTTAGGATTTTGAATTTGATCCGTTGCGCAATCGGAAGCCAGTGGAGGGATTGGCAGAGGGGGGTGGCGGAAACGGAGCGGTTGGAAAGGTGAATGAGTCTGGCAGCTGTATTCAGGATCGACTGAAACGGGGATAGCCAGCGTGAGGCAGGCCAGTGAGGAGGGAGTTGCAGTAGTCGAGTCGTGATATGATGAGGGAGTGGATGAGCTGTTTAGTGGTTTCTGGGGATAGGAAACGCGCGTATTTTGGCGATGTTGCGGAGGTGGAGTCTGCACGAGTTTGTTAAAGATTGGACATGGGGCTGGAAGGATAGGTTGGAGTCCAGAATGACACCCAGTACTCTGGCCTGCATACTTGCCTCTCCCAAAGTGTCGATCTCGCAGTGGATTTATCAAGATCCAATTGGCACCGTTCCCACTAGTGTGACTGCAAAGTCACGTGATGTAGAGTCCCACTTTGATGAGACTTTGAGTGCCACTTTGATCCGACTCTACACTCTCTGGATCGAAGTTGCATCAAAAATCGTATCAAAGTAGTCACATGACAAGTCGTACTAATGGGAACGGAGCCTTAGAGTTTTCTTTTCTAGGGATAGCTTTAAAGTTTAGTATAGCAACAGGGTTACTTTGAAGAAACTGAGTTTAAAAAAAATTGGTATCAGTGTCAGTTAGTGTTAATGTCAGTGTCAGTGTGTTTTAGGTAAAAAAAAGACAAAAACAAAATGCGTACTATTATTTCTGGATTGTACTACGGGTGCAAACAACAAATAACATACACATATATGGTATTGCTGCGATCGTCAAGAGCTGGATAATTTATTTTGGGTTGTCCTATGGGGGTAGGTTATGGTCGTAACAAGAAACACACAGCTAAATAAAAAAAAATATTTTTTTTTACTATTTTGGGCCAGTTTTCCTTTGATAATAAAAAAAAATTAGGAGCTATCCATTACCATTTACCACCAAATGAAAGCCCAATTTGTCCTGAAAAAAACGCGGTATAATCCACCTGGATGTACAAAGTAGTTGTGATGATATGTACGGTTTTACTAACACATGTCAACGTTGCAAAATTGTGCTTAGGCATTTATATTTGTTTTACCCTTAGCCGTGAAGGGGTTAATAAAGTATATGTATACGCAAAATCTATTTTTCAGTATTTCATAGCGTCATGCTTCTTTGTATACAGTTTCTTAAGCAAATCATTTTTTTGTGAATTTTGTAAAGTGTCAGCAACCCAATGGACAACTAATGAAGTACATGGGCGGCACAGTGGCTTAGTGGTTAGCACGTTTGCTTTGCAGTAAATGGGCCATGGGTTCGATTCCCGACCATGGCGCCTCCTGCATGGAGTTTTCATGTTCTCCCTGTGTTTGTGTGGGTTTCCTTCCACACTCCAAAGACATGCTGGTAGGTTAATTGGATCCTGTCTAAATTGGCCCTAATATGTGTATGTATGAATTTAAGTTAGGGACCTTAGATTGTACGCCCCTTGAGGGTTAGGGACTGATGTGAATGTACAATATATATGTAAAGCGCTGTGTAAAATTGACAGCGCTTACCTGAAATAAATAAGTACATGCATGTGCAGCAGTAACTTAGTGTTGTCACCCTACAACAGGAAGTGCTGTTACTGGCAGGATCTCCAGAGGTAAGAAGCAACAGAACAGTGAGCTATGATGTCAATTAAACCCAAAAATAGATTGAGGGATTACACATCTCAAAATGGTCCTGAATCTTACCATGATGGTGAGAGTGTGATGGGCCTGGGTTTCATGATCCAGCCGTTCTGCTGTGTAGAGTGTGCCGGTGTTAGGATCAATGCGGAACTTCTTCATACTCATTGGGTCAATGCTGCTGTGAACGATGTAACTTAATTTGTGGTTCTCATCTTTATCTGTGGCTTTGATCTGTAGAATCTCCGTTTCTGGGAGGACGTCTTCTGAGATGGTGGCCTCATAACTGGATTGGGTAAACTCTGGACCATTGTCATTGTTGTCAAGAACTCGAATGAGAACCTGAAAGGTAAAGAAAAAAAAGCATTAATATTTTAGAAGTAATAATACAAAATATGCATGATATTAGTTTCCAGTAAATTTTCTAAGAACCCAATAACATTTCCTGATGGAAATTATTGGAATGACCACCTTTGAGATACTGTATTTGTTATTTATGGTAACCTTTAATGAAAATGTACTGAATGAAAGCTTACAAATGAGATACATATAGGGAGCTGTTTTAATTGTCAACCTGTTTGAATTTCTAGCCATTAACTACTTAGATTTAAACAGCCCTGGCACACAACATAACCAGGTGGATGACACAACTTTCCCTGAAACATTTATAGAGTTAAGAAGGGATACAGTTGTGTCCTCACTCCACCTCAAGTCTGCTGATTGGCCAATAAAAGACCAGCAGGAGACCAATGAGGTCATCTCTCTGCTCAAGCACTCTCTCTCTACCTTTGAGCACATTTCTTGGTCATCATATTTGCATGCAGTACACTCGATTGGCTCCTAATCCTGTCCCTTCTGCTCTCATTCTGAATGCTGTTACTGTATATAGTTGATAGCAAGGGGTTGAGCAAGTAAAATTCAGGTACTTATATTAGTTGGAATGAAAAAAAAAAAAAAACATTTGCTTTACTAATGAGAAAACAGAGCTGCATTAACCTCCCTAGCGGTCTGATTATGTCCATATTTCTGTGCTCAAAGCGGTACATTTTTTTTGCATGGAAATATGTATTTTTTTTATTGTAGGCCTGTAATTTTTAGGAATAACTCACTGAAATCTGCCCAAACAAGAGTCTAGTAAACATCCCGGGTATGTTAAAATTTGAAAAACACGAAATCATAAATTATAATTTAATAAATAATCATAAAAAATATTAATATATAATAATAATAAATTTAATTCAATAATATAATCAAACCAAAAACACTGAAATTTGAAATATAGCGCCAAGTTTGCACATCGCTGAGCAAAGTCGCAAAATCGTTTTCAATGTCTGATGACGAATTTCCCCACGAATCATTATCACTCAATTCTGCAAGTGGTTCTGATTTACTATCTCTGTTCTCTAGCTGGTCTAAAACCGATTTGACCAAAAGGGATGCTTTTTGGACGCCATGGACGTTTCTCAGTTTCCAGGCAGAAGAAGAACAGTAAACATGCAGGCAGGGCACAGGACAAAGCACTCGGGACAAAATGTATGTGAAATGGTTTGATACAGCAATGTTTTACTATGTGATTTTAGTGTAATTAGTGAATGTCACTTTTTGTCATTTTCAAATTTCCCGCCGTTCCGTCCCCCGTACGTCCCGACATCGCAGGGGATGGAACCCAGAAGACAGATTGCGGCATCCGCCAGAGGACATTACAGGGGACACTGCAGGAGGGACATCGCGGGAGCGCAGGACAAGGTAAGTGAAGAACAGATCCTGGAGCAGCACCACATGGTATTCCCGAGTGTAGCTCGGGGTTACTGCTTGTGGTGCTGAAACTTTACCCCGACCTGCACTCGGGAATACCTCCAGGGAGGTTAATCTGTGTCTTTCATATCTGCTGAGTTCAGATTATGCTCTACCCAGGAAAATGTAGCAAAATTAGCAGCAAATAACAGTGGCAATGCACATTATGATCATGTCCCTAATCTGAGAAGACAATATACTCGGGTAAGGGACCATGATGTGTAGGGCTGATTGAGTGCTTATGCCTGCTGAAAAAATGTATGCATAACTACAGCCCAGAAAAATAAAATAAAAATAAGTCTATTAAAAAATAACAAAAGAAAGTCTGCTTTTGCAGTACTTTTTTTCTGCCACTAGATGACCTCGTCTGATCATCAGAATTGTACAACCTCCTTCCTCTGAGCCCAAGTCATCCTGAATCCACCCCAACATAAGATTGGAAAGTGAAAGGAGAAGTAGCACAGTGATGAGCTATCTGTCTCTCTACTCTCTTCTTCTGTCATCAAGCTTCTTATCAGCACATGAACTCATCAGCTCCTTGTGCTGCTTCCATCTCTCACACTCCAGCCAAGCTGTACAGGGACTGCAAGAGACTGATACCAGGGCACATTCTGGTACTTACATTGCTTACATGAAATAAATAAAAAGAAATGAATGATGTATAAATAATTATAGAACTGCATTAGTTTTGTGTTATTTATATCTGCCTGGAGTTTAGCTTTACGTTAATCTGTATATTTTTGCAACAAATGAATAACACAAATGAAAAGACTTTTAAAAAGGTATGAGGCATAAAGGTATATGCCAACATTTGGGATGGAAATTCTGGGACTTAAATGAAAAACTCAAATGGCAGAAGTTTTTTTTCTGATGTGCAGATAAAAAAACATCAAATGAGCATAGCAGGTGGAAAGTAAAGAAAACATCAAATGAGCATAGCAGGTGGAAAGTAAAGAAATGGTCTTTCAAAAGAAAAACTGAACCCTAGGAAAAATGTAGATTTTCTTAACATATATAATTCATAAAACGGTTCTATTTCTACTTTTGAGTGTTAATGTGCCTTGTCCCTGCAGATCCAAACCTCACCCACATTCACACATAAGGTGGGAATACACGATTAGACAATGGACCGATCGGTCATCCGATGACCGAGAGGCATTCATTCGCTGGTCAAAATAGTGGCCCACATTAACCAATCTAAAAAAATTGTTCCTCGGGCAATTTGTAGTGTTGACGTCTTCCATATAAGTGGAAGTGATACAGTGTGCGTGTGACCTTGTAGCCACGCCCCTCCAGCCAGAACGAGCGATATACACAACAATTACCAGCAATAAGTATAATATAGTTTATTACATGACCTATATACATAAATAGTGATACATAAAATTTGCAGAATTCTGGTTTCATTATCTCATTAGGTCAATCTACTTTTAACATTTGGATTTTTCGTTCGTGTTTATGAAGATTCCTTGGACATAAACATCCGGGTCATCTTCTGTTTCCGCTCATGCTTGATAGCGCTTGAAAGATTTTTTTCATACGACCGTCATACCACCACATAGAAAAATCAGTCGTTTGTATGCAAACCGACAAAATTTTTCACTGGTGTTCAACCGGATTTTTTCATTCACAATATCATCATCGATTAAAACATCCTGCTCATCAACGAAGAGAAAATCGTTTGATCATTGGTTCTGCAAAATTTTTTGTACGATTGTTTTATCGTGTGTACGGGGCATTACACTATAATGACTTTTTGGCGCCCTTAGTCTAGGTTCGCACCTATGCAGGTTGCGTTTGATGCATTTCTGCATTGCATTTTGCGTTGCGTTTTTGCACTTGCATTTTTGATGTGTTTTGCATTTTTTTTAGTTTTTTGTTAATTTTACTTGTTGCTAGGCAGATTTTAAATGCAAATTGCATACAAAACACAGTAAAAACGCAGAAAAAACGCAATACATGCTTTTCTGCAGCGTTCCCACTGAAGTCTATAGAACCAAAAACACAACGTTTTGTGTTCAAAAAAGTCCCTGATCATTTCAAAAAACGCACTGGGTGAAAACGCAGAGATGTGAACCTGCCCCACAGGAAATCTAGTTAAATGGACTGCAAAAATCTGCAGAAAACACTTAGGAATGAACCTAGGGTAATTAAAGTCCACCCTAGATTATGTACCTGCATAAAAGGTCAGCTTATTCAGGACTTTAAAGCTGATATCTGGGGGGGGGGGGGGGTTACTAAAACTGGTACACTCAGAATCTGGTGCAGCTCTGAATGGTAGCCAATCAGCTTCTAACTTCAGCTTATTCAATTAACCTTTGGCAATAAAACTTGGAAGCGGATTGGTTTCTATGCACAGCTGCCCCAGATTTTGCACTCTCCAGTTTTAGTAAAGGACCCCCTAGGTATGCATACTTTTGCATAGTTACATTGGTTCAGATTTGACCAATGTAATAAATTATGTGTCATACCAGAAAGATCCCCAAGGAAGCTGGAAAACACTATAATTGGCACTGTTACTACAATGATGTCACTGTCTTCCAGGTCCCATGCAGCTGCCCTGTTCTTTAGTGGATACAGGAGGTCACTTGCTCAGCACAGGTGCCATTCAGATAACATTTTCTCAATGAATTATTAATATTATACAAGATTTATATAGAGCCAACAGTTTGCGCAGCGCTTTACAAAATGAGGGCAGACATTATAGGTACAATACAATTTGGTACAAGAGGAAGTTTACAATTAGAGTTTACAATCTGAGAGGGAGGGTGAAGTGATTCAAAAGGTAATAACTCTGGGGGATGAGCTGATTGAAAAAGTAAAAACATCACAGAGTATTTGTTAAAAGCAAGATAGGGCTATTTAAAGAGAAGGGTTTTCAAGGATAGTCTAAAGATGGATAGATTAGGAGATGATCGGACAGATTGGGGTAAGGAGTTCTATAGGATGGGAGAAGCTTGCGAGAAGTCCCGGGGATGAGAATGGGAGGAGGTGGCAAGAGAACTAAAGAGAAGGAGGTCTTGTGAGGACTGAAGAGAGTGGGTTGGTTGATATTTTGAGACCAAGTTAGTGATGTAGCTGGGGCAGAGTTGTGGATAGCTTTGTGACATGTTGTTGAATTGTATTCGTTGGGAGAGCGGAAGCCAGTGGAGGAATTGGCAGAGAGGGACATCAGACACTGAACAGTTGGTAAGGTAGATGTGTCTAGCAGAAGCATTCATGATGGACTGGAGGAGGGATAGCCTATGTAAAGATAAGTCAATGATGAGTTAGTTGCAGTAGTTGAGAGATAACCAGGGAGTGAGAAGCTTTGTGGTGTCATTGAAAACACAACTCAATCATGTTTTTTACTGCAATCACATATCTTTCAGCAGGGACCAGACAAATTTTGATCCATCTATGGACATGCTGGC